TGAGGGTGAGTGTGAATGCAGTGCTTACTCTGAGCTGTGACAGTTACATGTGATTTTATAATTCTCTGTCAGATCAATGACACCATAACACTAATCCCATTTTAACCCTACGCTGCATCCTTTGACTTAACCTGATGCACCTCGAGAAATGTAACTACACGTCTGGTCGACGGATACCACGATGACTTGAATGTTGTGGAAGGTTGCAGTGTAGAAATTAAAGGAGTTTCTGGTTACAATGTCAGTTAGGACATAGATTTCTTTCCACAGAAGTCTAAATCAAGCTTTATTTTCAGAAGCGGAGGCCACTGGTTTGTTCGTCCACAGGTAAAGAGATCATTGGAGAGTGTGGATTATAATATTATTTTATGCCATGTTAGACCCCTAATTAAAGATTGTGAATTATTATGTAGTTTTAGTTTGCATTATTCTCCTGAATTAGAAGAAGGTGATAACTATTGCATTTGTTAAACTGATTTGCATTACATTAGACTGCTGATTTATTGTGAATGAATGATATTGTTTTATGATGCATTATACTGCTGAGTTATAAGAAATACTGTTCGCAGAAAGTCATCGCCTTATTTGTCTGATTAGAAGAGAACAGAACATACTGGAGTTTTCTGCCCCATCTCAGCAGGAGCAGATAAACAGGAGCCAAGGTCGTAGCTTAGGCGGTGTGAGAGAAAGAATGTGAATGTTTAGGCTTTTATGATTAGGTGGGGGCCACTAGAGGCTATAAGAGTTTGATCAATGCTCCACCATTTTGAGATCTGATGCTGTCTGCGTACGGTGTCCATCTCCCACGCGTGTGATCATTAAAATCATCGTTTGACTCAACCCGGCCGGACCAGTGTTGTTATTTTGGTTTTCCTCTTGTATCCATCCCCAATATTTGAATCCATAACAAGAGTGACCCAGCAGGTCAGTAAGTGAGGGGAGTGTTCCAGAACGGGCCTTCAGACAAACTGGTGAAGACACTGGTAAACGGGAGACACAGACGTTAACAGAGAGAGTGATAACTTTCATAGGACTAACATAAAGGAACCTGAGGAGGCAGACAACCTGGAGGAGACTGGGTGCTTGAGCTTGCCTTTAAGTAAAAGCTGATGAGGTGGAGGTTGTTATCATGGCATCCTCTCCTGGTCTGAATACACTATTATGCCAAATACATTTGCTTTGCCACAAGGAGCTCTATAAACTCCGTGTAGGCTCCTCTTCTGGGACAGTTTATTCTAATTTCTTTTACTGTAAATTTTATTCGTGTGCTGTTCAACAATGCCAGAGCTGACAGACAAAAGAAAAGAGAAGACATTATAAAAAAGAGGGGAAAAGGGAGAAAAAATAAGAATAAAAGTTAAAGCAAACATTCATCATGACCGGTCATCAAGCGCTGCATCTTTAACAAGGTGAATGTGAGTGTGTGTTTGTCATGAAACATACTTGGTGAGAAGCCACACCAGCCCCATTGTCAAGAGTAAGAGGTCATATGGATGCATGTGTTGCACCCTGCGTTTAAGATTAGGCTTTCCTTTTTGATAAAGCACACAGAGCTGGATCAGGTGGTCCTGAATCCTCCCTTAGTTACACTGCAGCAGGTGCAGGCTGCTGGGTGCTTGCTGTGATGCACTGATTGTTTCTTCTTCAGTCACCTTTTTTCACTCATTATATGTTTATACACCTCCCTGCATTTAATCAATGGTTATTATTAGTCTCTGGCTCTTTTTGTGCTGGTTTCCTCCTCTCACCCCCAAACTGGTCATGACAGATGACCGTCCCTCCCTGAGCCTGGTTCTGCTGGAGTTTCCTTTCTTCCCACCGTCGCCCACACTTGCTGATTGTTCTGATTGTTCCGATTGTTGGGGTTTTCTCTGTGTTCTTTGTATTATTGTTGTATCTTTACTTTATAATATAAAGCACCTTTCAGCAGCTGTTGTTGTGATTTGGTGCTTCATAAATAAAATTGAATTGAATTGAATTTAAATTGAATGTGCTGTATGAAGTGCAAGGGATGAACATGACTGATGGTCAGAATGAGGCGGGGCCATCTTACCTAAGATGGCGCGGCCACGTCCAGACGCCTTCCTGACCGCTCCGCTCCGACTATCCACTTTTCTTGTTTTTTAC